TCGGGGATCTGAGAAGCTAGAACGCTGAAGTCTTAGGGGGATGTTCCCTGTCCAAGTGGGTATTAACGAGTTCAAACCCTTCCTGACAGTTCTGGCGGTCAGTCTGAAATTCTTTTAGCTAGAAGCATCTGCCGGAAAAACCAATGCCGTTAGCGACAAAAATCTGTGGGGAGCTATGCAAAAAACGCATCTTTGCACGGGCAGCCCATGCGTTGGTCAATTATTACATTAGTGAACAACCAGCATTAAAACTATAAGACAAAATCAGCGACTCCTCCGGGAAAATGAATAATGGAAAAGGGAACAAACAAACTTTTGCAACACCACTGGCAGGTGCATCGTAGGATACGTGGATGAAGTGAACGTGGAGATGATAATACGTAGGCTGATAATGAAAATAAGCCCGAATCTGAAAAGCTCGCTGATAAAATCCGTATAAATAGCGTTAAATCCCACTTACTACAGGATTTTCTTCTGGAATGATAAGTAGCGGCCATTAGAAGACCAAATCATAAGTGGACGATCCAAATGGAGCGGCCGAAGTGGGTTAAATTGATAATTTGCGGCCCTTGGTGGGCCGAACCGTAATTTCTGGAGCAAATGGCCAGTCCGGACCGTGGAAAATATGGAACGGCCATAATCCACAAATAAATTAGTTAACAGATTATGATGGGAACAATAGTAAGGTGATAAGTTGAAAAGTCATGTAAAGAGGAATATGCAGAAATTGGTCTGCCTGTGAAAATCTATGAACAAAAATTTGAATTTCTTAAGCATTCTGGGTCTGCACAGTGCTACAGTTTAAAAGACATGGAAATGCCAGAACGTGATGTAAACAGATTCCAGCACAACTATCTACATATGCCTTTTATGTCCGCTCGGTCCCTGGTCAGGCGCCCGCTTTTTCCTGCCAATCTCGCATGTTATAACAGCAGTTACTTACTGCACCTAATCAGGCTCAGCTTCTTCTGAACCGCTATATTCACCCTCTTTTTATTCCTTTTTAAACCTTACTTTTTGCATAAATACACATCATCTAAAATTGAAATTACAATACTTTTGCGGCCAGTTGTACCTCCCGAGCTTTTCCTTTAATTTTTGTCTGAACTGTCTGCAGAAAATACCCTATTTTTTAGGCTTCGCTTCTTTTGAATCGCTGCGCCTTTGTTCCAGGTTTTACCCCTTTTCATGTTTCTTCTCACCAGCAGTATTTTTGCAACTGCCGTAACCCTTTATACGTTAAAATTTCGAAATGACCACTAAGTATTGTAGGAATTCCAAAGATACAAACAGTGAATATTCTTGGCAAGGAGACTGGAAGAGAACGAGGCCTGAAATCCTCTACGTGTTATCATATGCAGTTTGTTTGGCGTTATTGGCCGCCCACCGTGGAGAGGAAAACAATCGAATTTTGACAATTAATGAAAAGCTGTAAGTGCCATAAGCACAAAGTTATGTGTACAGTGACTTGGTAGCCTGTCTGTGTATCATCCCCAAGCTGTAAGGCACAGATGGGCAGAATCGGTGCAGAATAGAGTGGAAATCATCAGTACAGTGCCCCATTTTGCCATGTTAAAAGGAACATCTGGATTACCGGAGGAAGCTGAAGAAGGAAGGAAAGGAATAAGGGTGAGTGTATAGAAGAATAAAGTTGCAGCAGTAGAAGGAAAAGTAAAAGTTCGTTTTGATTTCCGACCAACTGACATTTTTCATATATCCTCTACTTCATTGCTCTCTCCCTCTCTTTTTCTGTGTCATTTTCAGTTTGCGATCGATCTTCTGCTTTGTAAAAGAATACGTCTTCTGTTCATACATTATTGCCTTCTACTCAGTGATACTGAAGAGCTTACGACTGTTCAGTTTTACAGTAAAGACTGAAGGACTATAAGTCTACTGAAGGACTATTAACGAGCAAAAATAAAAGCATGCGTTTTTAGTGTGAAAAGTCTAGGTAGTAACTCTGAAACGGTACTTCAAGATGGCCGGTAAGGACAGATATATAACAGAGATGACGAACTTTAAGACCAGAGAAGAAAATGGAAAAAATATTAACAACGGATAAAAAGAGAACAAAAAGGAAGGTAAGAGATGAGAATTACAAAATTTGCAAATTAATACAATTAGTTTAATGGTAAGAAATGTTTCGGTCCACTAATTTCCAGAAAAAACGGGAAAAGAGAAAGAGAACCGAAAAGAGGGCAGGGGATGATAATCCAATTACCGCAAAGAATCCTGAAAGGAAAAAAAAACGCAAAAAAAGCAATGCCAGAGAAAAGCACGAATAAATTTACCTGATGCTCATCAATCCCGTATTTCTCCCTGATAGCTAAGTAACCTTTTTCTCGGATGTTGTTCAATAACGGAAGGTCATTTGCTGTTAAATCCCTAAAAATTTTATTGTAAATTAAAAAAGGAACATTTTTGAATGATGCAGGAAAACAACTCCTAATCAGTAAGGTACCTCATTGTGTTTTTACGAATGGCGACGCTCGGAACAATCCCACAAGGATATCTCGGATGTCTAAATCTCGCCAAATGCTTCGCTCTGGGAAATCGCAGGTCTGATAGTCCTTTTAAAGGGGATAAGGAGGGGGGACAAAAACAATTTTGCGAACAAGCAGTGCAACATTATAAAGCTGTTGGGTTAGTGGCTAAGCGGTCCGCCGACTGCCGCGGTGCTCCGGCTTTTCGAGTTGGGTCGTCAGCTCCTTGGCGATAGTTCGGGGTAACAGCAGGGTCCACGTCTCTCGTGAATCGTCTGGGTCGCCTCCATAATACTACAACACTACAATGAATCGACACTGCTTTACAGTACTGACACAGCGGCTTTATATAGACCGTTTTCGCGCCATTAAACGACTTGGCTTTTTTACATACAGCTCTCCACATGACTTCTTTTAAATTCCACCCTGACTTACTTTTAAAAAAATATTCGTCACAACAATCTGACCCTTTTATTTTCTTTCTTTCATTATCACCACAGACCCTGGGCGATTATCGCCCCACCCCTGCACTTTCCTATTGCATGCACGATTTGTGCGGTTCCTCTGTCTAATATCCCTGGCTATTGGGCCGCTGTTCTGGCCCTTTCTTCTTTTCCTCACAGGGCCTTTTAGGCCCGTACTGCCTTTTGTAGTGATGAATTATCTAGGAGGGAGTCATGATGCAACAAAGTAAAGGGTTACCACCTGTACAGTTGGCGAAACACAGCTAACCTATGCAACTGCAAAAAGCTGGAAGCCCATTAATACAAAATAAATTGCACAGAAGAAGTACCTGATCGATCTGATCCCTCTTCGTCTCACAATTGCTTGCACGTAGAGATTTTCCAGCTGTTTTCCGTCCCACTTCAGATCGGGAGCAAGCAGAAAGCCATTGTGTGGGTCCAAATCCTCGAAAATAATCCGTTCCACTTCGGCCCGGTGCTCCAACAAATTATAAACCCACTAAAATTTGCGTTATTTTGAAAAAAAAAAAAAAAATTAAATGTCAGAATGCACCAAGCATTTTTTTGCGCTTTTGGAATTTTAGGAAGATGCTCAACCAGCAGTAAAATAACGCACACAGTGATAGATTTACTCTTTATATATCACCATTATCAGCAAAACCCTCGCATTCAAGTAGTGTTTTTATGGTGTGCTGGGATATATATCTGCCAGGAATATTTGGGAAAAGTCCACCGTCCATAGTATGAGTTGTTCATGCACCAGCTATTTATTCATTGACTACGACCTTTCGCACATAAGCGGATCCAGAGGAGG